GGGCCGGGTGGTGCAGGCAGCTGTGGCTACAGTGTAGCAGTTTGCTTCCATCAGTATGTGAATGTCTGAAATTCCTCCAAATAACTGTTACTTTTGTTTTCCCCCTGAAAACAGTCATGTACTCTGCCTGTGTCCTTGCAGACCACCTTACCAAAAGGTGGTTTGTATAAATATTTGCCTCAAATATATTTTGTGCTTTGAATGAAAAAGACCAGACATTTCCAAGGTAAATTATTTCTGAGCCAACTGAATTCTTGAAAGGAACTGGACAAAGGCCAAGTTTCTGTGTGACCATACCTCATATGCATGAGGCCACAGATCCTTTTTATTATGTTCTGATACAATAAATCCTAAAATTTAGGTGGTCAGACATGTTTAACTGTGAATTTATAAAAGGTTTAGGTTTTTTTTTTTTTTCTCGAAGGAACACTTCAAAAAAATTCTGCTTCTTCTGTTCATCATTTTGATTGCGTACAATTAGACGGGTCAAGTTCATCTACTTCTCACAGCACATAAATAAAAATGAACCAGAAAACAGATACATAGACTGTTAGTGAAAAGATGGTTAAAGCAGTAAAAGTACATTTAAAAACTTTTGAGGTGAAGTCAAAAATCCAAATCCAGTGCTCCTCAAAAATAAAATTCATATTTGGGATAAACTAAACAAAGGTTTTGTCCATGGTACTTAAAGCAACATTTCAGACACAATGTCTGTTTTACTTAATATTTTTCAGATGCATGAGGAGAAATATATTTAGTTGATAAAGAGCTTCTAAGAATTCTGGAGGCTGTCAGATTGAAGGTAGAAAAAAAAATCTAAGCAAAACTCAAAATTTTTAGCACTGAAAAGGAGATATTAGTAATAAAAGGTTTTATCTAAACCCTTCATAGCAGGAAAAAACTACAACTTCTCCTGTTCCAGACTTGGCCAGGCATCATTTATCTGCAAAAAATCTCCACCCTATAGTGAAGTAAACAATTTTTGATTATTTCAAAGACTGAACCAATAAAGTTACTTTCCTTTCATGGCACAGAAGATGGCCATGTTGAGATAAGCTAGATGAGACTTTGTCGTCAACACAGTCTGCAGCAATCACTGTTATGTTACTGATTCCTTGATATGTTTTTTTATTTATTTATTTTTTTTAAGAAAAATTAGAAAAATAGTAATAGATAAGTAACTAATATGATTGTTGGTTTTGAAAAAGTAAGGTATTAGATTACTTTTTGGTAAAACAAAAAGTGATCATATTAGAGTTAGTGTTAGCTTCAGTGTTTGAAGCTAACAAAGAAGATGCTATGAAAGTCACTAGTTATATTTCTGTCCAGTTTGCAAATTTTAAGCAAATTTTTAAAATGTCAAAGAAAAAACGCTAATGATGCGTGTCTATTTATTTTGAACATCCATTTCATAACTTCATCTGATGAAGACGTCATGCATCGCTGTAATAAACAATGTGTAGCAGTTGTAAAGCATAATGGACCGCACTTTTCAGAAAAATGGAGTCATCTCCTCCAAGCCTTGAGGTTTGAACTTTTTTAAAAGTTTTGTGAAGTTATTTTGAATTTTGCCGTTTCTATCGAATCTCTTCTAATCCAACACTTGAAAACATTGACAGGATCAAGGCGTCTTCTCAGAAGCCGCAGGCAGATTGTTGCCTTCTCGTGACCTTCTCTCACAACAGGACTTCAGATCTTCAGCCAGGACTTGAATTTTTTTTATTCAGGTGTTTTTTAAACATTTCTCACCCAAATATAGTAATGTGTGAACCCATGTCTTTCCTGCACAACAGAGTGGCTGAATAGACCTATGTTTACACTTGGACTATTTAAACAGGAAGTGTCACCGTTAGCCAACAGGAAATTGTACCCACAGGACCAAACCTGTAGAGACTCACCGTTGTTTTCCTCATGTCTTGAACATGTTTGGTCCTTTTTTCATAAGCACAAAATGAATCAGAGGAAGTCAAAAAGTCTCTATAGTTTCCAGCAGGTTTTTCTTACTGTGACGCTGTTAAATTAGGATGTCATGAACAAATGAAACAAACGGTTGTCTGGGCCAGGTATATGTTTTTTTTATGAATACAGGTTTGATACTATGTTTGATTTATGCTGCAAGAATCGCAGACACATTTTAGTGTCTTTAAATAACTAAATCTTCTCTGAAAAGATTTTTCAGAGAAGAAACGGCAGGTAAGAGCTGCCGTTTCTGCAGCTCTTACCTGCAGAAACGGCCCTATCTGTAAACTCATTTATCATGAAGGGGAATCGCTATTTGACAAATCTCTCTGCATCTGCATGTCTGCAGACTGAATACACATAAGGGCCACATGTTCCATCCCCTCTCTTTAGTTGTAGTCATTTGTGGCCATTGTCAAGAGTGATAAATGGGTTATGTGGCTCAGATAAGAGAGAGCAGTGAATTTTTATAATGCATTAAACAGGGGCGAGAGGGCAAGCAGACAGGCGGACTGGGAGGGTCGGAGGAGCGGCGTGGAGCGGAGCTGGGGAAAGTGGGTTGTCATGCTGTGGTGCTGCAGGCGGGGGACCTCTGTCACACACAGTTTGAGCCCCCGCTTCACATCTTTACTGGCGGTTCGTCTGTATTTTCCCTCAGATATCCAGCCATCAGCCCCCTTGAGCTCACAGCCATCCAGCAAGGCAGCAGAGCTGGCAGTCACAGCTTCCACTGACTGCTAAGTCACGTGAATCTCCCAGAAGTGTGTGTGTGGTTGTGTGGTTGTGTGTGTATGCATGCGTGTGGATGTTTTCGGTGCTTCTCATTTCTGAATAAAGCACAGTTACAGTAATTTTAGCAATTCTTTCCCCAAAACTCATCTGAGTTTAATGGTGTTTGTGAATATGAGGTGAAGAACTTTATATTATAATAATGATACAATGACAATTTCTACAACTCATCTTCCCATTTAGGCTGTGATGTCACAGATGTTAACTCCAAAATAGTTTTGATATAAAAATTATTTTTACAACCTATCCTACCTAGCATAAACTCTTAGACATAAACATATTTTTACTTTTTGAGTCAAGTAAAATCAAGTGCAAATCCAAAGAAAATGAATACCATTGATTAAAAAGAAATCACATGTAAAATAGGTTTCTTAAATAAATCAAGAATGCTCGAATGTCATTTGAAAGTTAACTTTTTGTCTCCTTTTCATATTAATTTGCCAGCCAAAAACTGCAGCAGTTTCACGTTTTTAAATTTTAACTGCTTAAAATATTTTTTTTCATCAGTTTTTGAAGCCAAATGGAAATTTGAGCTGAAACGAAACAAATTTAGTTCCACAAATCAAAACAAAACGTTAAAATTTATTTGTTTTAGAAATGCACCAGTCCGATATTTAGATCTGTATCGGCCACAGACTTTGACCTGCTGGACGTTGCTGGAGTCTGTGTTGGTCTGACTGGACTCATTTGGCGGTGACACAGATAAATTTGTACAATGCAAACTCTTGTGCAAAATGTGAAAATGATTTTTGTGACATACTGAGCAATGGCCCCTTGGTTGTCCTTCCACTGGCAACAGCTCCCACCAATGTCTCTGTTTGGGGAGGAAACGTTAGGATGTGGGTCAACCTTAAAGAAAATCACTACCTCCCTGACAACAATGTACTAGTGTTTTTTTCTATAAAGGTCGACCACAATACACCAAGTGATTCCCAATCAGACCAGTGATGTGCCTGCACAATGTGGGATGGAGCGGTACAACATGCCCTCTGTTTTCTGTGGGGATTAAGAGCCAACCCACTTTTACTAACTTAATGAAAGGACAACAAACTTAATGAAAGGACAACAAACTGTGAAGGCTGATGACAAACATGTCTTCACTGCAGACAGTCACTGCAGTGAATACATGTACCAAAAGGGATTCATTTACGTTTATGAAAACGTAATGAAGAAATGAAGAGAAACACCCGGAAGTCACAACCAAAGTTACTGTTTCTCCAGTCCCTCCTCTTGAAGATGATAAAGGTGCTTTTGGAGAGGAGATAAAAATATTACATTTGGAAGATGAAAAACCTCCACAAGAGATAACAGGTTACCATTTTGAGGGTGGAGAAATTTGACTGGGACCGAACATGTGTCGGTCCCAGTCAAGTGTTCAGTTACTTAAATTGATAGAATAAAAGGGTAAAAAGATTTGACAGGTTTCCTGTTTGCAGGTATCTCTCTGGATTCTCTGGCTTCCTGCCAAAGTCTGAAATCATGACTGTTTGGTTAATTGGCTTTTCCAGTTGACCTTTGCCCCATGTCTTCTCCCCTCTCTCATAACCCGCTGTCTTGTCTACTACTGTTAAGTGATTGCCACTAGGGCCAAAACTACTTTGAAGAAATGTCAAAAATACATTTTATATATGTTCTATCTGGACCATGTGTTCACGCTTTTCTTCAGCAGGGTCACTAAAATCTTTAAAAAGTTCTCAAAAGTCATGTATCATCTGTTTGACTTGACATGTATAAACGTCTGATTTAGTTTGTCAAGTATAATCTTAATACTCATTAAGTTGTGTGGTTGCAATATGATAATGTTAAAAAGACGTTTTCACCTAGTTCCAGTATTGTAAAAGTCAAGAGAAGGGCATGATGATGGAAGGGAATAGAGAGGAAAGATAAAGGAAGGGAAAATGTCTTATGACTGAGTGGACTGCACTGAGAGGCAGGAGGCGAGGGACTGTGGGTGGTGAGTGAATGAGCAGCAGGCTGGAGACATTTCAGACAGAGCAGAAAATTTGGCAGGTAAGTGTGGCCAGCAATTGTGTAAATGTAGAGCTGATGGCAGGAGAAGCCGAGAGTGAAGAATAGTGAGGCATAGTGGAAAACGGAGCCATTTTCTTCCTCCTGAAGAGCAAGAAGACCTGGTTTACCACAGAACCTGAAGCTGCTGATTGAGATCGAAAACAGTGGCTGTGTCATTGTTGAACAGACTGAATAAACAGAATACATGTTGTAATTTATTTTTTGATCTGTTTTTATCCCAGAACGAAAGAAGATTACTGTGACTATTGGAAACCAGATGTCCTACAAGAAGATTTACAACGTTGTTGGATACCTGAAAGGAAGAAAAAACCCAGGTTTGTAAGAAATGAACAAGTATGTGAAGAGAGCAAATTAGCTGAACAATCTTAAAGAAGGAATCATTAAGACTCACTGAGGTTTATGCTACACTGAACCTTCAAAACACCTAAAGCATTAGACCTGGTTGGTGACTGAATGTTTCCTTCACAAAATATCCAGTTTGTAAGTCGATGAAGTTTGTCTTTGGTAGTTTCATTAATTAATGGTCTACAGACAGGATAATTGGAAGCTAACAGACACTTCTAATTCAAGCCTTGTATTATCATCATCATCAAACACATTTTCATAAAACCTGTCATAAAACCTCCTCCTTTGGTTATCACTTCATGGCAGATGTTGCCAAGGGTGACACCATCAACTTTTGTAGACAAAAAAAAAAAAAAAAACTGTCAGGTTTGAGTAGTATTTTTATTATTATTTGAAAACTGATTTTTGGATTTGCTTGTCTGGAAATAAAATTTGTTTGACAAATTCAACCATTTAAGTGCGACAAAATATCAAACTAGTGGTGGAATATTCTTGTCACCACCATGTGCATTTGCTGTTTCACACTAATTGTGAAGCAGCTAATGTACATTCCTTGCGAAAAAAAAAAGCTTAAAATATTTCTTTTCCAATTTGAAGTTCATCGTTGCCTCTTACATACAGTAAGCTGACCAGTTTTTGCTTTGAATGTCAGTTCTTCTAAGTGACATTAGAAGAAGTCACTTCTTCTAATGGAAAATCTAACATTTTTCCATGTTAGATTGAGGGAAATCTTAAATTTACAAAGGACCTTTACATTTGAGTGAAAAGAATAATATATATTTTTTTTCTTTTAAAAGCTGTGATGGTAAGAAGAGAACATAAAAATGAAGCCAAGTCTCATTCACTGTGTGGAAGTAGGCTACAGCTAACTTTTACAGGAAGTTTGAGAAAAAAAAATAGATGCTCCTCCATCCGTCCATCACCTTAAACCCACACAACCTGAAAATTTTTTCAGTGTGTTTAGATTATAATGTTGAACTTGTAAAGCAGGATTTGTGTATTCAGTCACACTTCATTTTTGCTCCAGGGAGTGGATTTCTGACTTGTTTTGTCCCGTTGTCTTTTATTGTCGATGTAGTGAAGGTTTTCTTTATCTTGTTCTTGCCTCTCCTCAACAGCCTTCATCCTTACACATCCTCCCCCTCCATTCCCATTGCTGTGGTGCAACCCTACCTGTCCTGCCCACTCACCAGTGGAAAATTACCTCACTGATTTACAGTGTGATATTAAGCAGACATAATGGGCCACTAAAACACATAATGTGGGCCACAAATCTCTGCAAGTAGCAACACTTCAACTGGTTGTTGGCATTTGATCATATGCATGTTCTACACTCAAACATGAGCAGAATGAATATTCATGAGGGCTCGCATCAGGCCTATCTGCCCAGCTTTATGGACTTTATGGCTGCACAAAGACAGGCAGCATCATAATAAATCTTAAAATATCCTTTGCTTCCATGCATGTGAATCCTGCAGTCAAAGCCTTGTACCTTTAAACAAAAACTCAGTTCTGCTGTAGTTGAGGAGAAAAGACATTGTTGATGAAGTTCTCTATCCGAATAGATATTATTTAAAATATAAAGTAAAATAGTCAGTGACCATTGCTTTAACACATCACAGAGTGCTTTTTGGTTCAATGTGAACTGCTTTGGCAGTAATGGCGTACATTATCCTTAGATGTAAAGTTTTCTTTGATCCTCTGATTTTACACAGCATAACATTCAGAGCCTAGCCCTTCCCTGATTGGTTGTTTCTGACCGACCCGTGTATTTGTACAGTTGGACCACAAAGATGTTATATTGTCACAACATGGTGACAGTTTTAACAAATGTGTAAAATAGACATATTTTGTAAAAGTTCCCAACATCAACTTCAAAAGAATTTTAAAAATGGTAAATTGACTAACTGTGCAGTGTGTGTGTTGTCATGTGGACCGCGCTTTACCTTCATGTTCACATTCATACAAAATACAGACTTGTGACCAATTTGGGATTTAGTGGAAAGTTTAGAATGAGGAAAACTGGGTATTAAATTCAAACTTAAGCACCACATTATTATTATTCTTTTTTTTATTATAACAGTTACATTTTGCTACATCAAAATTTCTGACCAGCACTGTAAGCTATTATTTTTCCAACACTCATACTTGAGAGAAAACAGATTTGTTTAGACCTCTTGCTGATGTTCTTACTAATCTTCTACAAAATCTTCTACAAAATGGTAAATGTCTGAATGAGAAGATTAACCAAAAAAAATTTAGTGCAGAACTGGTTAGAAAGTAAGTCTTTACTGCTGGATGTGTTAAATCAAAGCTGATCCTGTTTAACATTCAGCAGTTTGTTTCAGCCAAAGGGCAACAAAAAACATGGTTTCCTCTGTTACTCATTCACTAGCGGTTTCGTGATGAAGCATGTCATATTCTACTATATAAAATACACACACACACACACACACACACCAAAAACATACACACACAAAACCCCTTAAAATAAAAAAGCCTTTTAAACTTTGGCATATGACTGATTTGAATAAGTTCACACTCATTAGTGTTTGTCGGATTTAGCCTGGAAGCTGCAGAGCGCCATAGTGCCAGGATTTCAGTTAAACAAGCAGCCAGTCGGTGGTGTGGTGTGCTGCACTGATCAGGTTTTCTAGGAACCAGGACGGCCTTGTCTCCCTGCATTTCCACTGCATTTACCAGGCCAAGGTTACAAAACAATAATTTTTGGAACTTGTCTGATTTTTTCGATTGAATTCTGAATATTTTGCACCGCTGAATCCAAAAATTATATCCAATTTTCTCAATCTAGTCAGGTTTTTATTCTAATTTGATTAACAGAAATCTGACCTTCTGACTAAAGTGAAGACACTTTTGTGACATTATCAGTTTGTTTCTGTTAATATTTCTCATCCAAAAAAGGTTTTAAGAGAAAAAAAAATGTTTTCCAACAAAGTGTCTGAATTATTTGTTACAAACTTCGATTTCGTGAAATTGAACAATAAATAGTAAACACATGTAAACTGAATATTACGTCTCCGTCTCTTTCCTGTCCTGATGGAATCTCTCCTCCTGCTCATCATCATAGATCCAGATTCTCAGGAAACTGATCCAGATGTGAGAACAAGTCATGCATTTTGATGCTTATGTTGCTCTATAGTTCATAAAGTTGACCTGATTGAGCAAAAACAATGTGATTTTTGGATTCAGCTCATCACCTTGACCCTAAAACAGTTGAAAACCTGACAACTTCTTGGCTGCTGACCAGTGTAATTCACATATGTACAAATGAATCTCATCCCCGGCTCACATTATCTGTTAACTATTGACTGTTTTCAAGACACTGATGCCTGATTACAGCTGAGAAAGAGGGGTAGTAAAACTAATAATTTGGAGCTTAAAAGGTTTATGTCCAGGAGCAAAAACAAAACATCAAGAATCAGATTATTAAGATTCTTAAGAAATCATGGCCTACTGCTGCGGGGTGTGTTTGTGTGTGTGGCTGTGCTCCTTTGGGACACGTCCCACAGGTTTAATTTATTTAATATCTATGAATGTTACAAACTTGCTCTGCCTTTGAAGTGCCTATAATTCAGTTTCACAGAGTAAATCCTGTGAAATGATCACCAGTTTATGGCTCGAACACCAGCTTTATTTTCCCAACAGCAGCTGTCGCTGCTCCTCTTCCATCCTCTCCACTAAAGTGAGAAAACACAAAAACTGCTCCAAGATTTGTTGATAGATTGACTTTCGTGGCAGCCGCTACCAGTCCGCATCTTTCATTTGCTCAAATGTTTGGGATTAGACTACAAAGATGTTATCTTGGATCATGTAGGATTGATTCTCTGGTAATGTTGATGTAATGCAGCTCATGAGGAAACAGCCACATGAAGGAAGAAGGACGCAATCTCATAAAAGATAACTGGATACAGCAGGCTATCAGTTTGTCATTGCTAGTAGTCATAATAATAATAATTATACATTTTATTTGTGTGGCATTTTCTATGGTACACAAAGACACATTGCAGGACTACAGTTAAAGAAAATCAAACTGCTGAAGAAGGCCCAACACAGACTCCATTTTCTGAGAGAGAAACTGCATTTCTCAGGAGAAATGCAGGAGAAACTGCATTTCTCAAAAACTGCTGGTGTCCTTCTGTCGATGCTGTATTGAAAAAAAAATCTGCTGTTGTGTCTGTGGATCTGCAGCTGGAGCAGTGAGTTCCAGGGTGGGGCAGCGATGGACAAAGTTCTGTCTCAGGTGTGGAGTTTGGTATAAACCAAATACCGCCTGTAATTTCCCATCCACTCCCCAATTTTGCCAAACTTTATGATGCTCTGGCAAAAAGTCCACAAAATTAAATGGACGCTTGTGTTTGTAATTTGGACTTAATATGAATATATTAGCCCTTTCATGCATAGAGGTCACTGCAGTGGACAGCTACTGTATCTAAAAGCCATTACCTTGTGTTTCTTCCATTTTTGTATGTTATAAATGCACAAACAACACTTAAGTGGACACTAGTGCATTATACAACACTCTGTCAACTGCTGACCATTCACAGCAAGTGCAAGAAAATTTCTGTTAAATTCAAAATAGCAGACAGACAAAAAAAGCAACTCAGGAATATGCAGTCCCTCCTTCTACTGCAGAGCTGGTAAGAAAGAACAAAACAAAAAAAAAATTGAGATCAAGTAACCCCTCAAGACTAACAAAACTGGTGTATTTTCCAAATAACATCTTATTTAGAGAAAATTACAACTGATCACTTAGTGATCAGTTGGATCACTTTTTCTGATCCAACTGTTCAGAAAGAAAAAGATTTTTGCTTTTTTTGCTTTTTATATTTTTTCCCCACCTTTTTTATGCATTAAAAAGTCAAAAACACTTTGGAAAAAAAATTCTGACATAAAGGATCATAAGTCATGCATGAAAGTTTTAGTAAGGAATGTGACCACAGGGACATTTGAACATAAACAGTTTTGAAACAAGTTGTGAGGTTGATATTATGCTGTTAACACACCTGAGAAAATGAGATAACTACAACTTATCTAACTGGAGAGGCATGAGCGCTGCATGACTAAAACTGGCATAAGCAATCTATTGGTGTGTGCTTTAGCTTTCTGTTGAAATCTTAAAAATATTAAATCTTCTTTTAGCGTGTGACATTGAACTTCTCCTTCATCCATTTTCTTCTTAGCTGAGGTCAGATAGCTATGCTTTCTGTAGTTGCATCAAGATTATTTAGCATTTAGCATTTAATTGCCATAATAATATTTGTATTGCACTTTTTCCACTTTGACGTGATCAAATTATTGAATGCCAAAACCAGCAATAGAACAGAATTGCAATATAAATTCATTGCTTTTCACATATGTACTAAAATCAACTCCACGTTTATAGTCAGTGGAGGAAAATAAAGCCAGTAGGCCTGATGGTGTTTAAATATTGAACAGATGGTGGCTCTGCTGTGGAGAGGTTGCCTTGTCCCCCTGTCATTTTCCCAACATTATCATTGTGTGCTTTTGTGAATGCAGATATTTAACCCAGCAGTGATGTTCACAACAGGTGTGCATCATTAAGTTGTTCAAACAGTAAGTGACCTTGCGATGCGAAGTGTGAGCTCACCGGTGTCTCTGTCTGGAGGCAGCGCTGCTGTTGCAGAGGAGTCGGAATTTCATGTTTTTATTTTGCTGAATTATTATTTTTGGTAATAATTCTGCGGCCTGGCTTAGCAGGTGGCAGCTTCCACTTCAGCTGAGAGGGACAGCAGCTACTTCTGACTATACAGTTTGTCCTTTAAAGTGGATGGAACCTCGTCTTGAGGTTCATTAGAAAAGATGGCACCTTTAATCAGAAGGAATTAGAGCAACATGCTGCAGAGAGAATATGAAAGAACATTAGGTACTTTGCTTAATGTGTTCTTATCAAAGAAGGTTATTATACATGTATCATCCGAGTATGAAATTATATTGCAGAAAACATTTTTATTACTAGTGCCAGTAATATAAAGATGAGCACACCAGCAAAATGGATAACATAATATCGTCCTTGGCTTGGCACACTCATCCTCCCTTCTGCACATTGGCCTCCATGTTTCCATATTGGTACCAGCTGGATTGAAAATATGAAAAATACAATTTTTAACCTAAATGGCACACCTGCAAGAATAATGATTTTTATTTTATTTCTACCTTATTGTATTTTCTCTGAAAATTGATGTTTATTATTTTGTTCTGATTATATTATCTAATAACCTCTAATACGGCTGGAGGTCATCAATATGAGCTTAAGAGCTTTAGAAAAAAATTGGCCCTGTTAATAATAAACCAATTAAATAATTTCATCCAGCTGGATTTCTCAGGACAAATTTCATCATGACCAATCAGCGAACAGATCAAGAAGTTATGAATGATCAATCAAGTTTATTTGTACATTCAGCAGTAAGGCAGGTTAAAGAAAACTTATCTTATTACTAAGGATGCAATTTTACCAAAGCAATTTATTTATTTATTCTGTTTTCAGATCGCCACGTTCTGGTTGGCAGTCGTCATGACAGTGACCAAGGAGGTGGAACTTCAGCCATTATGACTCAACTCATCGCAGCGCTAACAGAGCAGACCAAACAGGGATGGGTGCCAGACCGTACCACTGTGTTCTGCTCATGGGGAGGCACAGCCCTGGGGAACATCGGGTCCTACGAGTGGGGAAAGGTCAGAGATACAAGGAACATTTACTTTCTGTAATGCTAGCTTTGAGCTTTATGAGAAAAGATAATTATAAATGGCATCAAACTTAAGTATGGACTTACAAATGGAGAGTAGCTAGAGATAAATTGAGCCAAACTTTAGTGGAGAGAATCATCTTTAACAGAGATAGGAAGTCATTGTGGAGTGATGATGGGGTGACAAATATGTCAGCAGTTTTGAATGATAGACAAAGAAGGAATCCATTTTTATTCACAAACTGAACAAAACTAATTCCTAATCATTTCTTGTGCTGAAGACAACTATTGTTATTCGATTTCCTGTTCAAAGCCTGCTTAATGTTTTGCTGAATATGTGCTGTGACATTCTGTTATGTCGTTGCTTTGCCGTTTTGGCTTTTCCTCATGTTAGGTACTGGATGCAGAACATCTGAATTCAATGCTAGTAGAATTCATTGGCTCCTTTATTCGCCTGTCTCTTTTCCATCTCTGCCTTCTACTTCCTTCTCTCTTTTCCTTCATCACTTTGCAGAGACGTCCACTTTGTGTTCATACAAGACCTCATGCCACGATTCATTTGTCTAGCTTGAGGTTAGCCAAAACATGTCTGAGTTGTTTTCCGACTCTTTGGTTAAGGTGGTGGGCTGGTCTGAGTCTGGACAGTGAACTTCCCGTTTTCTTTTGATCGTCCTCCTCGTTCACCAGAGAGATGAGGTTACTCTGTTTTATGAAACTATGTGCTGCAAATCAGACATTTCCCTTGTTTTCTTGCAGAATTAGGTAATTGGTTTTGAAGTTCATTTTTCAGTATTCCAGTTTCACTTAGTCATAGTTTTTTCATCAATCTGATTTGATTCCCATTTTATTATTCAATAACTATATTCTCTTTGTCTTTTCATTTGCAGCTGAATTGCATCTTAGTCATTAAAGAATTTTTTTTTTCAAAGAATAATTCAGCTGCAAAATTTGGTTATTTTGTTAATAATTGTCAGACTTGATTAGAAATCAGTGTTAGTTATATCTCCTTGTGTGAGTTTCTTCTGCCAGTAATCTGAATTCATTCCTCCATGAGAGACTGAGTTTGACTTGTGGCCTCATAGACCCTGGAGTTGGTGCTCTGATTAAGCTAAATAATTGTAATATTCTAAATAATAATGTATGCAGTAATAAATTATTAATGACATAAGCCAAACATTGATGCAGCTTCTGATGCCCAACAGTTATGATGCCACTCTGTGAGGTTTTTTGTTTCGGAAACTTTGATTCCCGAAACAAAACTCCTTTGTCTTTGTCCTTCCTGCAGGATAACAGTGTTGTCCTTCAGAGCAGCGCTGTGGCCTATGTGAGTCTGAACTCTCCAGTTCAAGGGACTGAGACTCTTCAAGCTACAGCATCTCCAACTCTGCTGCAACTGACTTCCGATATACAAAAGGTGAGTTCTTATGCAACTTAATAATACACACAACTGAAGAATACATTCTCCAAAAGGCCGTCTGTGTCTTTGCTTGTGCTTCTGTTCAACAGTCAACAGGTGAGAGGCGGGATAAGACAGATCGCCAGTCCATTGCAGAATTTCTTCAAATTAAAACATTTACAGACATTTTCTTAGTATTTGGTGCAATTACCTTTCAAAGTGCATAAATTGGGTCAAATATTTTGGATATCCTTCCAGAAGCTTCTCACAATAGTTTGCTGGAGTTTTTGCTCATCCCACCTGACAAAGATGAATTTAACCAAGTCATGTTTGTAGATTTTTGGCATTTTTCTGCTCTGCACTCAAATTTTCTTTGGGCTTGAGGTCAAGGCTTTGTGGTTGCCACTCCAAAATACTGACTTTGTTTTTCCCAAGACAATGTTAAAACTTAGTAGTTGATGCAAGATTCTTTAGTGATCCGTCTTTATTTCACCAGCTGATGACTTGCCATCTTGCTAGAATATTTCTGCTTGATCTTATTTCCTTTTGATTCATTGTAGTTTGTAAAGTGCACCAGTTCCCTCCAGTACTGCCTCATCCTTCACATTTTGAATGCTGTCCTGAGGTTTCTCCAAATGTAACATTGGTAATTTTTGCCAGACACTTCAGCTTTAGTTTCATCTGATCAAATGACTTGTCTGGGGAAGATACATTTTTGCATACATTTGTGTCAAAAGGCCATTCCTTTTTGAATGGCCTTTTGTCTTTCATTGGTACAGGACTCATCTCATGATGTTCATAGTTGCTTGACTTGATGGGCGTCTTCAGAGATATGGAAATTGTACCCAATAATCTTCATGATATCTTTCCTATGATATGTCAAAGGATGCAGTCTCTTAGATGTGTAGCCTTGAAAAAGATAAACAAATACACCTATATTATATATTTAGCCTCCATTTAGCCTACATATATTTGACCTAATGACAAGACCTAATGGCTCACTGTCAGCTGTCACCTATTTTTACCCACACTAATGGGTGAAACAGCAAAGTGTGACGCACCACTGGAAGGCTTGTTGTCATATGGTTGAGAGAGGACATTAATAAGGTGACTCCAATAATAGATAAAAAATACATTTTTCAGATTATCTCGCATGCCATACTTTCACAACATAGTGACAGTTTGAACAAATATGTAAAAATATACAGTACAAACCAAAAGTTTGGACACAACCTTCCCATTCAATGGGTTTCCTTTATTTTCATGATTCTTTATAAGGTAAACCATTTCACACTTTACAGTGAAACATGAACTCTTGAAGCTCATCAAGAGAATGCAGAGTTTGTGCAAAGCAGTAATCACAGCAAAAGGTTGCTACTTTGAAGAAACTACAATATAAGGCGTATTTTCAGTTGTTTTACACTTTTTTGTTTAGTACATATTTCCTCATAGTTTGATATCTTCAGTGTGAATCTACAATGTCAATAGTCATGAAAATAAAGGAAACTCATTGAATGAAAAGGTGTGTGCAAACTTTTGGTCTGTACTGTATTTTGTACTGTATTTGTGTTAGGGTCCAATGGCAGACCCCAAAAAACATCAGCATTAAACACCTGTACAAGATACAAGGGATGGTATTATGCTAATTAGCTACCAATGTACAAAATAACCCACGAAACCACTAGCATTTTCATTAGCTTAAAGATAATTTGCCAAAACCGATATGTAAACCATATCTCTGAATAGCTTAATTTTTCTTGTCGACTCACCTCATTGGGAATTACTGTAGTTGGAACGTTAACTTAGCCTGCTTGCTTCAGTCAATGGTGACATAAAAAAACTTCTGGTTTGCCATCAAGTCACTTTGACTTCATGTAAAACAATGAGGACCCCCTAGTGGAAAAGAAAGAGTGAATCCTTCTCCTTGGCTCTGATTGGTTGATTCTGACTGGGGAGCATTGTATTTCTGCAGATGGCAGTAGGTCCACAAAAAGGAGCTTGATATTTTTTTTTCTTTCCTCAGATGTTTTACTGTCACAACATAGTGACCGTTTTAAAAAATATGGTCACTATGAGCACGAACAAACATAAATTTTTATTAAAAATGTCTACTGCTGCTTTAAACTGTCCCTCTACTGAAACCTGGGATTTTTTTGCTGATCTGCTCTGGCAGAGATGTTCCCTGACTTCTGCAGTCTCTTTTTTACAATGGAAACTTTTGCCTCATCATGCATCATTAACGCTTTGAGTTCTTTTCTCCCTCTATTGCTGCTTTCAACTCTCTTTTTAGTTCATGTTTCTTTAGTATTACTTCCCTTTCTCCCCACCTGTCTTGTTCTAATATCACTCCATAATCTCTTCCTTCATCACCAGCAGGCACTGCATCCCCACACTTTTAGTTTTACATCATTAAAATCTCCCAACCACATCTCTCACTTCCTTTTTTTTATTATTTTTTTTTGGTTCCACAGAACACTAACGATATTGGTTTCACGAGAATAGTCATCTGTCCACAGAGAATATATCCTCTTGCCATGGATCTAGAAAGAAACATGATTTAAAAAGCGGACAGCTGCAGTTCAGTGTGCCATAACTCCTCTGCTGTAGCTTGAAATAATTACTAAAAAGGCCTGGGCTGCTTTATTCTTCTATAATGTAGTGAGAAACATCCTGTTTTTTTAAAATAACATCTCAACAGGAAAATAAATACAAAAATCAGCTAAGGTTGCACAATATTCTGCTGCGCTTTAATGAACTGAATCCAACAACACTTTCAGAATCCCCAAAGGACAATATCATTCTTGTAGTTTACTCAATTAAGGGAAAATAAATTAATAAAATCAAGCACACTATTGGGATCTAGCTTTTGACTTTCTTTCTTGTCATTAAAGCCTGCAAGTCTTCTTTATCCCACTCTATAAAATGACTTAGAAACAAGTCTTTTAGATCTGCACTTTGTAGTTAAACCAAGGCATACACAATCACATTCAGGATTTTTGCATTTTTGCTCTCCTGCTCTTCATAACAAAAAAAGGTAACAACTAGCGGCTGTAAACACAGAGATGTTTTCTGATTGTGCTGGTGAAGTTAGGATGAAAATGTATTAGGTCAAAGTAATTGGACAAGTCAAAAATGAAAAGAAAATGTTAATTTCCTATATCTTGTTTAAAAACCCTTTGCTGACAATGACTGAAAACCAGACCACACGCTCACTGAAACTGATATTCAGTTTTATCGACTTGTGTTACTGTCATTCCTGTGCAGCACTTTGGTGCAGTTTTATACCTGTTTTAAAGTGCTATATAAATAAATTTGACATTGACATTGACACTAGATGCTGGGTTTTCTCCTTTCTAATGTTTTGTGGCGAACTAAACTAAAGGGTCATTTCAAAACTTTGATGAAGCAAACCTCTGAAGAATTGTACAAGTATAAAAATGCTGCAGACATTAATAAATCACTGAGACAGAAACACTTAACAATGTTCATGTAACCTTTAGGATTCCAGATATCCTGTTTATTTGTGGGCCTTTCTGTCCAAAGTTTAGTCTTCAGCAAGTCAAATTCTCAGTCAGGTTCAGATGAGGTAATGGACTCGATCCTTTGAGAATGTTCCACTTCTTTGCTGTAATGAGTTCTTGGGTTGCGTTGACTGTTTTGGCTCATTGCGTATCTGGAAGCTGAAATGCTGTCCCATCAGTTTGACTCCATCCAGCTGGATCTGAGCACACCGTACATCTCTGAAGACCTCAGAATCTATTCGACTTCTGTCCTCTGTCACATCACCGATAAATGGTAACGTCCCAGTGTCACTGCCAGCCATATTTATTTACATACATGGCTGCCAGCTACAACAATGGATTTATCTGGGAGAGAACACTGAGTTGCTGAGTCAAGAAAAGGAAAAAGAGATGTGACTCTGCACATAGTACTGCGCCTGGAAAGTTAAGATTCCATTCCCTATATTTCTCATGAGAAATTCATTCATTTTCCAAAATATAAATAGATTCCAGCAAGTTTGCTGAGCTAGTTGGATTCTTAGCTCTATGTTTTGTGGCAGCTACACATCCTTATGACTGGTTGTGGGAACTCTCAGCCTTATCAGCTCAGTGTCACATACAAAACAGCTCGATGTGAACACTGTTTCCCACTGAATAGTTTACTGTACCTTTGCATGCCTAGCAGATGTCCACTTCAACTACGTGCAGTTTTCCTGAAGTACGCCTGGGTTCTTGGGGGGCCTTCAGCATCTTTTTCTAGGAAAATAAAACAGGGTTAGGAACTGAGTTCTGGAGTCAAGCATGTCATATTTGGAAAAAAGTAAAAAAATTTAAAAAATTAAAAAAAAGAAAGTTCTGTTCGGTTTTCAGAAGCTTTTTTGCTGCCACTAATTTGAGTCAGATGGTTTGAAGGATGGAAACCAGGGCACCATTGCTTTGAAATGTGCTACATGCTGAAGTCATGAATGATGATTTGAAGCTGAAGTGACAAATGGCTTCACACTCTTACTGTGTTTTCACACCTAATATTCCAGTAGATTTGGTTAAATTAGGGATCAATGTTGCAACATTTATTACATTTTCACCTGGTGTAGTTCAATTTCATGCCGTACTGTGGTAAACGATCCAACCCTTTGAAACCTTTGAAAACCTTTTCCCTCCCTCACCTGTGTTGGTGCTGCACCAAGAGCCACCAAAGAAAACAACAAAAAAATCTCAGAAAAAATCCTTCCAACTTCTTTTTTTCTGAATTGTAAAAAAAATAGTCGTGTCATGTTTTAGTGTTTGTGGGATTTTTCTTTTGTCTTTGTGCTACTGTACATGTCCTGCTTTTGGAGCGGTCTCTGGTCTGCTTGGCATTCACATTCGCATTCAGACCATGCTATAATTTACTGTCATCAAACTGAGACTAAGGGTTTTAAGCAGACCACAGTTTCATATCATGTAAACAAACCAGACCTTCTTGGCAAATGAAGAGGAAAGAAGACTAAACAGGGCTGGTGAGAATGCATCCCCTGC